ATACATTTTTAATATCACCACTTTTTAACATTTTATTTTCCAAAATTTCATTTTTTTCATTATCACAAATTTCTTGATTATTATATACCATAATCTCAATTTTAATATTCTCTAAATTTCATTTTTCATCAATTTATCTCCCAAAATTTTAACATCTACCTCTTTTACATATTTTTTTAATATTTCAATATTTTTATTATTATTTTTCCCTTTAAATATATTCAACATAATATTTTCTAATCCAAATTTCTATATCCAATTCCATCCCAAAACTATATCAATTTTTTCTTTCAATATTCAAAGATCCAAATTTATCAATTCTTTATTTATTAATACCGGTAAATTTACTTTTCCCAATACCATAATTTCTGAACCATTCAATTGTTTTACCCTCATTTTATCTTTAATTATGGGTTCATTCGGCCATAATTTGTAAAATTCATCATACCCCATTACAGATATTGTTGTCCCTATATCCAATAACATCTAAATTTCTTTATTTCCTACATTCACTTTTACTCTTGGACATTGACCAAAATTTTTATTATCTTCCAACTTTAAAATCGGTAAATTGCATATTTGAATATTTTTTTGTGTTACATCTCCCAACATATTATTATAAATCCCATAAGTGTTATTTCCATTTCCTTCATTTTTTCTTTCCATTTCATTATTATCTTTTACTTTATTTTTATTTATACTTTCTTTCATTTGATCCAATTGATTTTTTAATATATCTCCTCCAAATGTTTTTATTTTACTATCATATAGTCATACTAGAGGACAATCCCGCGCATAATGACCAATATTTCTACATCAAAAACAAGTTATTACTTGAGCATTATTTCCTTCATTTTCCGTTTCTTTAGGTATTATATTATATTCATTTTTAATATTCGTTCCTGGTAATCCGTTTTTAACAAGTGGAAACGCATTGATACCTGTTTGTTCTCTTAAACATTTATCCGAAGTATGTCCTGTTCTTCCACAATTTGAACATGACATTACCTTTCGTTCATTTTCTTGTATTTTGAAGGTTGACACATAACATTTTTCGGCATTGTGACCAGTATTTCCACACCTTTTACAAACTACTGGTAACATGCTCTAATTCATACCTCCATTACATTCTCTGCTTATATGACCATATTTCCTACAATTATAACATGTTCTATTCTGCCCCATTCTACATTGATTCCTTCTATATTTCATTCTATCTTCCTTTGTATTATTTCTATAGTTTTGCTCTATTCCTTTTTCTCCTCCATTTCTGTCATTTCTACTCTTAATATTTCCTTTTCCTTTTTTTTAAACTCAATTTTATCCAAATTCTCTTTCTTTTTCCTTTCTAATTATTCTATCTCGTTTCCTTCATTTTCCCATTCTTCTCTCATTTCTTTTCTCATTTTTTCAAATTCAATCTCTTTTTTTTACTATATCTATTTCATCATTTTTTTCAGAATCTCTAATGATTTCTGGTTTATTAACAATAATTTCAAATTTTCTCTTTTCAGCATCTCTAATGATATCTGTTTTTACTATTTCACATTTTTCATCATATATATTTCATTATAAAACTTTAATTTTTCCATATATCCATTTGTTTTACTTATTTTATTCTCCTCCTTATTAATATTTCTTCTTTTATACTAAAATAAATGCTTAATATAAAACTTAAAATTAATACTTAATAAATACATTGAGATAAATTTTTGATCTCTATGTAATTATATGCTCTTATGGTTTTTTTGTTAATCATTTTTAATTTTATTTTAAATTGCCTTACAAATTATTCAAATTCTAAATTTTGCGTATTTATAATAAACTTATTGAAAATTTTACTATATTAATTCTAATAATTCGAAATGGAAAAATATATATAAAAAAAAATATTTTACCTTTGATTATGAATTTTTCCTCTTTTTTCTTAAATTTTAGCCGTCGTATAGATGGTGATAATTGGTTATGCCTAATTAATTATAAGTGTCGTTTTTACACGGCACCAAATTATTGCGATTAATGCTATGAGAATTTGAATAAAGTAAAATTATTGTGACTACTAATATGAGAACCTGATGAAACAGTTAACTAAACACAAATCATTACGCAAAACATTTTTTTATTCTTTTATTTTTCTCACAAAAATAATAATAATAATTTTCCCATCTTTTTATAAATTAAAATATATATGTAAAAAAATATATTTCTTTTTTTAAAAACATTATATAATAATATTTTCGACAACATTATACATAAAAAATATATAATGTTACAACAATGCCCATTCTCCAAATTTTTTAAGCATCTAATAACAAATGATTCAGCGCTACACCCTTACTAAAAATTTCATAATTTAGTAAGCATAAAAAAATATTCGATTTAAATTATGTTCAAAATATTTATGATAATATAAAATTATTATTTATTCATATTATTTGTTATTATCATGCAAAAATAAAAATGAATCCAAATTTTCTGTGATCAAAAGCGTTCCTATTTTTTTTAAAAATACCATTTTAAAAAAAATTTAAATAATAAAATTTTCATTTTATAAATAATGCATGTTGTTTTTTTCAACATTAACTTATTTATTTTTTAAATATTTATTTTTATTTGAATTACATTATTTTTAAATAAAAGAATTAAGATAATATATAATTTTTACGTTGATAAATCTCTTTAACTTTGAATCTTTGCGCAAATAAACAAGAATATCTTCTAGTTCAATCTCCACTAAAAGTTCTCATTCAACTAACATAAAAACGATCCTAATTTTTTTTCGTCTATATTAGTTCTCATCCTATTTTTTATAATTTTTAATTTACTATATGTTCTCTCGCAATTAACTTGTGTAAATAACAAAGTTAAAATGTATTCATATGTCAAAAATAAATTTGTGTATGCACTTGTGTACATATTGTATCTTAAGAATTTCATTCACGCATATTAAACAATTGTTACATTTATTATCACATTTCACATTCTGAGCTATTATCTTATTGTACGTTTTCATTAGACTCCTCACCTGCACATACGATATCATCGTCCGTTTCATTTAATTATGCTATTAAATCTTTCAATTCATAGGCAAATGAACACAATTCGTTACGTAATTTAACACTCTATATATTTGCCAATTGTGTCAGTTTTTCCAAGGCCTTTTCAGAAATACCTTTACTATTATTTTCATCAAAATGCCTAGGATTGCACATCAAAATAAGCTCTCTTTTCGCAGAAAACCATTCTGATGTTTATAATTTGATCTATTATAGGACGAAATACTTCGACCCTATAATTGCAAATAAAATCCAACAAGTTTTTTTTATCTCATTAATTTTTCCGACGATAAAATCCACAACAGTTATCGATAATCTGGTATTTAAATTTTTTTTATAAAGCATATATTTTTTAATGTTTAAATAAATTTTAAATAACAAATAAAAGTTAAAAGTTTGTTAGCCCGCCCATTGTTAAAATTTTTCAAGGGTCCGTTAGCACTTTTTAAAATTATTTAGTTAGCCGGCCCAATTAGATAGAAGGGTGTGGGCTAAAAACCAGATCATTTGAGCAAAAAAAAATTGAAAATATTTTAAATAACGATTATGACAATTATCATTTTCTATGGTACATCCTCACTGTAATTTTAACTTAACATGTTTAATATAAATATTTTTACCTATTTTCTTTGAAAAAATTCAAAAAAGTTCACAAATAATGATTATGACAGTTGTCACTTTTCTATGGTGCATCTTCACTGAAATTTTATTATAACATGTTTACAATATATATTTTTACCTATTTTCTTTGAAAAAATTAAAAAAGGTTCACAAATAACGATTATGACAATTGCCACTTTTCTATGGTACATCTTCACTGAAATTTTATTTTAACATCTTTACAATAAATATTTTTACCTATTTGCTTTGAAAAAATTTATATGACAATTGTCACTTTTCTATGGTACATCTTCACTGAAATTTTAATATAACATGTTTACAATATATATTTTTACCTATTTTCTTTGAAAAAATTCAAATTGAAAAAATTCAAAAAGGTTCACAAATAACGATTATGACAATTGTTATTTTTCTATGATGGTATATCTTCACTGAAATTTTATTTTAACATCTTTACAATATTTATTTTTACCATTTACTTTAAAAAGTTCAAAAATAACTATTATGACAATTGTTATTTTTCAATTTTATTTTTACATCTTTACAACATATATTTTTACCTGAAAAATTCAACAAAGATCAAAAATAACGATTATGACAATTGCCAATTTTCTACGGTACACCTTCACTAAAATTTTAATTTAGCATGTACAATTTATTATTTTACCGTCGCTTCAAAAAAATTCAAAAAATATTACAAATAACGATAATGATTGTCAGTCACTATTTTAGTTCATCTTCTATGATATCTTAAGTAGTCGGCCACACTAACCCCGATTATACAGTATGCATGTTCTGTTCGGCTCAAAAATTTGATTAGTCGCTAAAACGGGACGATTAAGCCGACTAAAAGGGTCGACTAAATTAGTCGTTTTAGTCAACTAAATTAGTCGTTTTAGTCGACTAATAGACTAATTTAGTTGCTAAAGTATTTGGTCGAACTTTTCGACTAAAACTTAGTCGACTAAATTTAGTTGATTAACAACACTAGTAGGAATCATTAAAACATAAATAAAATTTAATATGAAAGGCGAGAACTAATGTACTCAATATTTTCTCCAGAAAAATATTGACTAAGCCTCGAAATTTCAATACTATATGTCTAGACCTTTGCTCCTTCTATGAGCAAAATTTTCAGGCTTGCATAATATTTTTCTGGAAAAACTGAATTAGCCGTTTTTAAATATCGGCTCAAAACGAGCCGTTTAATAACACTCGAGAACAATGGCTTTTTTAAAAACTAGTAAAAACATGTTTTGAATTTTATCAATTTAATTATTTTTTGAATAAATATTTGAACATTTATTATTGAACCTTATATAGAACATGAATTTTTACCTAACCCCCAACGTGGAACCTTCTCTTAAAATTCTTAAACCAGTCATAGAAAGTGCAGGTGGAACATTTGTGAAGCAGAGGCCTTCTACTAGGCAGATCAGTTTACAAAATAAAGTTTGATATTTAAATAAAAATACAAGATAATACATTTAAATAACTTTTTATTGAAACAATCAAACAGTCAGCTACCCATTAAAAATGCTAATTTGTTTTGTGTATATGCTACCGACAATGTGCGTAGTAGCCTGATTAATAATTTAATCCGTGTAATTTTTAGGATTGCTATATATTGGAATAGGATTAGTTTCGATATTGGCTATTTTCAAGAAAAATCGGATAAACCCAATATTATTTAAAAACCAATCGATCCGATTTTTTTAAAATAATAAAATCGCATAATAAACTATATTTTATTTTTGGCAGCCCATTTTTAAATTTTAATTATTTCTTTATGAAAATGAATTAGAGAAGTGATGTAAAATAATATAAAAATCATATATTTATTTAGGCTATTTCCAAAATCTAATTATATTTATAAATAAATAAATTTTGAAGAAGCTATTTTTAAGATAAAAATAAAATAGTGTTCTAAATCATTTTTCGTCTTTTACAAATTTTAAAAAAAAATAAAATAATAATAGTGATTAAAAAATTTGAATAAAAATTTATTTATTTGGGTAATTTTTATGAAAAAACTGGTAAGTAGTTTTTCATATTTTATTCTCGTTTTTTTCTTTCTTTTGTTTTTTCGTTTTTTGTAAATTTTTATAAAACTTGGCTGTGTCCAAAATGTTTTATTAATTTGCAAAAATTTAAAAATTATTAGGTTTTTTCAAAATTTTGGACACGGCCTTAAAAAAATAGAACTTAAAAATAAGCTTAAAATTATTTTAAGGAAATTTTGAAACACTTAAAAATTAATTATAAAAAATTTACAATAAAATATTGGCAGATTATTTTTCCCATATTTATACATAGTTAGCAGTAAGAAGAATGAGGTTAATATTATATAAAATGAATTCTATGAAATTTATTTACTTTATTTAATAAAATCACAACCTACCAGAATTTAAAAATTAAAATTAAGAAACTCTTTGGAATACTTTCTATTTTCAAATTAAAATCCAAAAGAAAATATTTTTAATATTGGATCGTACGATGAAAAAAAATTTCGAATCGGTTACCCCTAGTAATTTTAGTAAATAAATTATAAATAATTCAAAATTTCCTCACCAAATCGTCTAAATTTATATAATAATTTTGTAAATATTATAATTCATTTGCAAATCAGTTCTTCAAATTTAAAATTTGCAATTTTCTACATTTAAAGCACTTTTTAAATTTGAATAATCTGGTTTTTCCTGAAACGTTTACCCTATAAATTTCGGACATTTTTATAAAATATTACACATTGCCTGATTACACACACTGCCGGTAACATATAAATATGAAAATTATATTTATGGTTTAAATGAAAAATGACAAAGAAAAATTAGATAAGATTTGTAAAGAAAATCTTCCTCATCCGTAATATATTTATATATTCTATGAATATATTACCTCTGAATTTATTTATTTATATCTTATTCCACCAAATAAAGATATCATTAGAATAATGGTCGGCGTGGCTCGGTCCAAAAGCCCTGCGCGGGCAAATTGGCGGACAACTTATGTAAAATTAGAAGCCGAGTCTAAAGTTACGAAGCAAAGTTTTTTCTTCAGAATTTGGAGATGGGCGGACAACTTTTTCAAAATTATTTTTGGGCCAGGCCAGGTTGAAATAGAACCGGGCCATGCTAACCTCTATGATTTAAGTTTTATAGTTTTGGATTAAGTAATTTTTTATTGAACATTTTAATATTTCCATGTTTTGAATTGAATCATTATCCCCTTATGATCATGTTTTTTTTTTATTCCTGAAAAATTATCACAAGTGACTAATAACCTGAATATGGATTTATTTCACTGTTAAATGAATATCATTAAATCGATTTTTTTAGATGAATTAGCAACGCCGCAAATAAAACATTATAACATTTTTTTAAATATTTAAAAAAATTTATTAAAATCGTGTTAACAGCTAAGAAACTGCTGATGGAATATCACTCATTCTTTTGCAATTAGGTTACCCTAAGTCAATATAACATATTTTATTTCCAGAGTTGTTAAAGTAGCGCGCTAACTTTTTTGGTAGCTATAGCTAATTTACTTTTTTTGTAATTATTTAATTTTTTAGAGCGCTACTTTTTTTGAAAGTAGCTAAGTAGTAAAAAATATAATGAAGGTAAGTATAAACATGATAAATATAATATCATAATTAAGATATACTTGCAAATAAAATTATTGATAACACTGTGTGACAAATATCGACTTGATTTTTTGGGAGAAAATAAAATAAACATGTTTTAAGACAGTTTTTTATGCATATTCTAAATCCGCTGTCAGTTTTTTTCTAGCACGTCAGGTTTTTTATTTAATTTAGGTTAAAGTGGCCAAAAAGGTCATTTTTAGCACTTTTTGAAGGTTTATAACTTCGGTTCTAATGATCCCTACAACTAAAAAAATATCTTAATTTTTGCAGCAAACCTTACTTATTATTATTATACATTTTTTTTTATAAAATCCTTACTCAATTTTTAAACAACCTATATTTTTTAAATTTACCTTTATTTATAAATTTTTTTTTAATATAGCTTACATTTAATATATTTATTTATTGTGGCTTTCGTTCTCTCGCTACACTGCACACGGTACGATTCCCAAACAATTTATTTTAAATGAAATAGTTATATTTCTCTCTGGAATTCCAGAGACAAAGAAAACACGAATGCTTGGTGTAGCCTAACTGAAGGCCCGTCAGGTTGCGATCATTTTGAGATCGCAGCATATCTTAAATTCGTAAATGGAATAATTTATTTTTGACAATAAATATTTCATATTTTCATATGATTCATTTAACTGGTTGGAATAGACGATGGGAATTGATTTCTTAGAATTTCCGTTATGAAGCAAAACTGCTTTCAAGCAGGGATGTAAACCCTTCGACAAAAAAAAAGGGTTCGGGTTTGGGTCCGGTAATAAATTTAAAAAGGACCCGGGTCCAGGGTTCGAGTCCGGGTTCAGAGGGAATATAAAAATAATGACTCAAAATAAGACTTTTTTTCATTAATTTTTTATTATACTTCAATATATACACATTTATAATTCGAAATGAGATAATTTATATTTTAAATATTTTATTCAATCGCACAATCATGATATCTTCTAAAATATCATCCTTCAGATTTCCACGTAAATTAGACAAAATATATTTCAACTATGAAAATCCATGTTCTACGCTTACCGAAAATAGATAGTCATTTTTATAATACATAAATTATTGTACTTGTCGCCGGTACAGCCATGACGTTCTAGACAAGGTATATAATTCTGGATATATTGAAGAATTTTCCTCCCAGAATTTTAAAGTGTTTGCATCTCTATTCATTCTCTTAACTTCCGAGAACTTTTCTATTAAAGATACAATAGATATTTTTTGCTCCTTTTGATCAGATGATAATTTAATTTTTTTTCTCTATCTAATAGTAAAATTTCCAGATCATCATTATCATTGTTATCGCTACAACCAGTAGATATTGTTGTAGCCTCCAATATATTGTAAATAATAGAGTTTTGGGTATGCCATAAATCTTCAAGATTGTCTATAGCCATTTGTTTTTGCTCACTACTTAATAAAACCAGAGATATCGCGGGTCTAAATATATCGAAGCATATACAACACTATTTTGTTAATATTGTTGCTCTCTTATTTTCATATTTTCTAATACTTCATTTGAAAAAGAACTTGTTAATCTCCCTAACTCTAATCGACATCTTAACCATATGCCTTAAAAATCCGATTTGAGTGTTCTGGATATCTATACGTAAATAGCACTTCATTTAAGCATTTTTCTCCATTATTCGTTTGTTCTCTATTTGCCAAATATCGATTTTTGATAGTCTGAATGCATCTTTCTACTAAACCATTACTTCTTGGATTATACGGTTTAGTTTTTATATGCTGTATATTCTTGTTTTTTCACCATTTATCAAATTCATTTGAAATAAATTGTAGACCATTGTCGGTTACAATTTGATGTGGAATACCATATCGAGTAACCCATTTTCCTAGTCTATTAAATTCCTACTTTGTATCTTTAATTCTATCGATCTCGATCCATTTTAAGTATTCATCTATTCCTACTAGCTAATAAAATCCGGCCAGTGGTCCGGCAAAATCTATACCCTTTCTCAGGGCTGTGATGGCAGATTCCACAGGTATACGGCAACCTGGTATATCTGCGTTGTTTTTACATCCTATACAGCTGTTAACTAGTTTTCCATCTAATTGCTCCCACCATATATAATGTACCGTTATAGATTACATTGATGTAATACCCGAATATCCAGTATACAACATATGTAAAATTCTTTTTTGAAGTGAGTAGGGAATTATTAATCTGCCATTCCAAAATAAAATTCCGTTGTCATTTTCTATTTCATCTAATTCTTGCTAAAAGCTTAATTCTGTTTCTTGATTTTGTATATTTGTACCATTATCAATATTTTTACGCTTTTTAAAATTTATTCTTTTGCGGTTTTTTCTCTAAGTTCCTTTTTAGATAGAGTTAATGTGTCATAAGTAAGATTTCTTATATAAATCACTGTTTTATTTTCGCTTGTCATTTTATCACCATTTTTCTCTATTGGATTTTGTGATAAAACATCTGCAATTATATCATCTTTCTTTTCATAATATCGTAATCATATGCGGATAATTTATAGACCCAACATAATAATCTTTGATTTGTTAATATCTTTATTAGAGGTTTTTGGTTCTTTCTTATTATAAACGTACGTCCATACAAATATTTATGAAATTTTTCTACGCCATTTATTATTGCTTTAGCTTCTTTGTCTATTGTAGAATAATTTTTTTCAGCGTCTTGTAAAGTTCTGGTGTACGCTATTGGAAATTCGTCTCAGTTATTATATTTTTTGCAGGAGTACTGCTCTAAACACTTGGTTAGATGCATCTGTTTCTAATAAACCAGAGGTCCGCTTTATAAAACTGT